TTTTAATTCAAAGCCTTTGGAAAATTTCTGGGGTTTTTTTTTTTTTTTTTTTTTTTTTTTTTTTGTTAAATCCCACATAAACCTGCATTGAATAACAACTTTAAATAAACTTTAACTTGACTTTCAGCTGTCCTCTTGCATGTCATGTATCCATTATTTTCTCTCTTTCAGTCATTGTCACATCGTTGAGCAATTATTTTCCTCGAAAGTAATAGTAGGTTTTCCTCTGACATGCAGAACTGGTTTGACATATGGTAATCATCAACTGACACCAGCTCTGTTTGCACAATTCAACAAAAGTGAGCGGCACAAACATTTTAAAAAGCTGGGTGGAGAATATTTTGGGACCTGCAGCGTCTTACAAAAATAATTTACAGTTTGCTCACAAGTTTCAGTGGGTTTTATTTGGATTTTATGCGATAGGCAAACACAAAATAGTACGTAATTGAGAAGGGGGAAACAAATACTACATGACTTACAAATTAAAATTGTGTGTAGTGTAAATATATTTTGTTTAAAGATATTTCAATTACAGCTGCAAGTCTCTTGAGTTGTGTCTCTGCCAGCTTTGCACAGAGACCTTCAGAGTTTGGAAATATTGTTGGAAACCTTTGAACGTGTCAATGAGTTTCTTCTTTCCTGCCTGCTGTGTTTCTTCTGCATTCTGCAGTTTCTCCGGGCACCTGCACTGGATTTCATTTAGAGACAGGGTACAATGGGGTTTAATAAAAATACACTAAAAGTTTGTAGTGTTTATTTGTGGGGAAAATAATGGAGGAGAGTCAAAAGAGAATGAATACTTTTGCGAGACGTCTTTTGGTGTCGCACCTGAGCGAAGCCTGTGTCGGTACGCAGGGTTTTTGATACGCATAGTTGCCCCCACCCAGAAACAAGGGGGGGCTCACTGCGACGTCCCAATCACGTGACTGTCCCATCGGTGAGGGCTCCTCCCCCCACCCCCTCTCTGTCTCTCTGTCTCTCTCTGTCTCTCTCTCTGTTCCTATGCACGGCCAGCGATGCTGAGGCTGCGGTGAGAGATGAGGAGTTGCTGCTCCGGCGCGTAGAGGCGAAAGTTATGGCACGGCCATCCTCCTCCTCCTCGCAGCAGAGCAGCGCGTCCCGCAGCAGTTTGTGCCACAGTCCCGCACCGGGAGCGCGCATTGCCTCTCCAGACACGCGAGAAATCCCCCTCACGCAGCCCGTCAAATCAATCTGAGTGGGGGGAAAAATAGGTCTGAGGCGAGTCGGCGGCGACAGGAGAGGGACGTTTACAGGTATGTGTCGCTCCTTATTATAGGAACATTATCCAGAGCTCTTTTAACTGACAGCAACATTTTAGTCGTGCTTTTGCTGCCCCGACCCGTCATCCTCTGTGACCCTCCAGTTATTTATGTGCTCCAAACTTTTCACCCACATTGAAGTCTGTGCTGAGTTTTGGCTCTTGTTACAGAATGACATTGCGATTTTTTTAAAAATATATATATTTAAAGTGTCTCTGTGTTTTTTTTTCTTCTTCCTTTTTTAGATTATTCTTTCAGAAGTGAGTAAGGGGCGCAATGTAAGAGGCCAATAAAGATAACCGACCCGCAGCTGCGCACGGTAAGAGCACCCTGTTCTCTCTCTTTCTCCACCCCATAATAATGCGGTTTTGTGCTTTGCTCCTAAGAGACTAAGCCTGCAGCTTACAGCTAAACACCTTTTATTCACTACACAATCTGATCCATAGGTTTTCGGAGTCTCAGCTCCAAACTACAGCAGTTGTCAAAGTCGCAGCCTCGTATCCGAAGGACTGAAAGAGGAGAAAATGGCTACAACAAAAACACCATCATAACTCATTGAGAGACAACAAATAGTTAATTAAAAACAAAAGAAGAAGAAAGAGTTAAGGCATTAATTAATCTGCTCAAAAGTAGGTTACTGGCAGGTCTGAAAAAGCCCGGGTCCACTACTACTATGAGTAAATAAGTATGATTTATGGGCTGGATGGCCACTTTTGTATATAAATATCCACTGGAGCTCTGCTCATAAGTCTGTAAGTAAACATTTTCAGACTGCAAGTTCAGTTGGAGATCTTTGGATTCATTTGACAGCAGCAACATGAGGAGATTACAAAAGCCAGCCTTCCATAGATACATTATATAACTGATTTTCATTTGATAATGAGATGCATGGATCATTTTCTCTGATGTAATCCAGTACTATACACTGAGTGTTTTTGCAGTGCCAGAACTAACATGTGCAACTGTTGTGGACGGGTCCTGTTTCTTGACCTACTTTCTTGAACACGTTACTCTGTCAGAAACTAAGTAGATCAATAGGAATGTATGTATAATTGAACTGAAACGACTTTTGTTCCAAAGCGCCTTGAGAAGACGTGTTATGAATTAACTCCGTACAAATGGAGTGAATTGGAGACGCTGTTTTCCCTGCTTTAGCTCTTAGCCCTTCAGAACCTCCTATTTAAGGAATGACGCCTTTTCAAAATTCGAGTTGTGCCGTCAGGTTTGCAGCTCCTTGCTTGAGGACATGCCGGTTCAGAAGCAGCTTTCGGCAAAAATGTTATCAATGATTGCTGACTTTTCTTCTCAGTCTCTGAGTGCTTCCCCCCCCCCACCTGCACAGATCTTTCACGTTGAGATAATGAGAAATGCAAATTAACAAGACAAAAACATGTGAATACATGAAACCCAATGAACCTGGTGAGTTGGGTTGTTAAGGTTGACATGATTATCCCAACTTCTCTTTGCTTTTATGGTGGCTTTTTATGTTGCGGGCGTGGTGATGTTCCGCACTTGAAACACTTGCAAAACTTGGAGAGGGCATGTCTGAGCACAGGAAGCATGGTTTTCCTGTCTTATCAAACATTTAATGTCAGTGAAGGTAATTAAATTCATCCTTGATGTCCTTTTCTCTTCTGGACTGAAGATAAATATTTTTAATTATTCCTGAGAAGTACTTTCTTAGAACTGGAACCACATACGCCTGCAGGCGTAAAGGTTATGTTTATTAGTGGTTAATTTGATGCAGTGCTATGAAAAGCATGTTTTTTTTTTGTTTTTTTTTCAAATTTTTTACCAAACAACTTTTAAAATAAAGATAGCTGAATGAATACGAAAAGCATTTACAACCAACCTGAGCCTATATAAACAAGACTGTTTCCATCTTGTCAAATCATAAATTTTATGCTGAAAGATTATATTTTCAATACAGTCCCACATCTGATTATTTCCTCAGGTCAAGAAAGTTTTTGTAACCTATGTGGCAACATTAAGTAGACTAGAATTTTTTTTTACAAATTCTCCAACACATAAAAAGCAAAGTTATTGACATGCTTTAGTCCGGACAGAGTTACAGTCCGTACAGGTTCTCATTTCCTCTCATTGTTGCATCGTTTTTCTTGCAGGTTTGAAGCTGAACTGGTTGCATCCGCAGTTCCAAGTGCTCTTCACCAATCCTTAGAATGAGGCTATAGGACTTCTGAGTCCTTTCTTCACCTGCAGTGCCTTCAGGGACGGCGCCGAGACAGCATTACAGGTATTCCCAAAAACAAGCTGAATGCTATTCAGAGTATTTTTTGCGATACAGAGAGAAGTTGAGTAGCTGAAAAGCAAGCTGCGGTGGTTTGTGGTGTCAATTTTGATGTGATCATTCATTTATCTCATGTTTCCCCTTGGAGCGTTGATTGTACTGTTTGATCAGTGAGCACCGGGTATTTCCAGTTCAAGCTGATGGGATGAGAGTGGTCAATTGTAATGACTAAAGCTACAACACTGAACTTTGTTACTTCTTTGATATGACAGGAGGGAAGACTTGTTGGTCCGGTTCTTCCTGTACAGAGTGAAGATAAAAGATTCCCCTAAAAGACGGGCGATTAATTCATTCAGCTTTTTGTGTTTATTTATTCATTTGTCTGACACTTAGGTTTTCCCCCAAATACACAGCAAAACTGGTTTTCGAATGGAAAAAGAAGAGTGACCCAAATGCCGCAACCGTTTTGTGGGAAATGAGGACTTTCTTTTAAAGTCAAATATGTGAAATGAGTTGGAACAGTTTTGATACAAAAAGTGTTCAGAAATCCTGACAAAATTATGCCAGAACCTTTTTTGGTGGGTTTGGCTTTGAAAGCTACCAAGAAATGCGAAACTTCCCCAGATATTGGTGAGGTTTGTAAAAAATATCACCTTGTAGAAAAAATGTTTCAATTAAAAGATCCTAAGTTGAAATTTATTAGGATTTTTATTCTGAAGATGAATAGAGCCGGCCCTGTCTGAATCTCGCAGGATATGCTTTTGTAGTCGTAGCTTCAAAAATAAGTCTGAGGAAATTTTCTCCCCTAGTGACAATTTAATTTACCCTCCATTGACTATAGTTGTTCGCTGTAAAACGTGACAAATTCACTCATTGGTACGCTCATAAAACAAGTAAGAGTTTGTCTTTTATCTTCGTTTTTGTTGCGTTAGTGAAGGTCGTTTCCCACCAGAATAAAACTTTGTGCTTTAAAACTTCCTTACAACAGACAGGGGCTTTTAAAAGATTAAATTCGTGTTGAAATTAATGTTTTTGCATAATTATGATCCACAGAGCTAAAAAAAAAAAAAGAAAAACATTTGACGTTTTACAGATTTCCTCTGTTTGTTATTTAAATGTTTAAATGTTTTTTTATTTATATTTAAATGTTTCAGATTATCAACCAAAATTTACATCATGTCTTCATTTAATAAGGAAGAAAGTTATGTAATCAGTCTCTCCTACTGAATGTGAAAGAATAGTTTCACCCAGTCTCTATCTTATTGCTGAAACATTACCATTGACTTCAGCTTAGACAGGCTTTGGATGTAGTTTCAGGTTCTTTTGTGACCTCCTTGATTAGGTCACTTCTCTCGCCATTGTCAAGTTTCTGTAGCCAGATAATGTCAGGTTCTGTTTAAGCCAAGTTGGGTGTGTCTCCATTGGAAGTTTGTTCCTCACTATGTGGATGTGAATATGGGCAGGAATATGGGTGGGAGTGTGGGACCGTGAGCATGTTGTCTTGCAGAAAGAAGATCCCAGGTTTAAATCTCCATCTGGGGTCGTTCTGCTTGGGTGTTTGCATGTTCTCCCTATGCTTGAGTGGGTTCTCTCCGGGTACTCCGGGGTCCTTCAGGCCAAAAACATGACCGTTAGATGAACTGTTCTGCTCCAAGTTGTCCTTAGGTGTGAATGTGAGTGCACAGTTGTTTGTCATGTGTGTCTCTATGCTGGACTGCGATGGACTGGTGACCTGTCCCGCCTCTCACCCAGTGACTGCTGGAGAGATAATCCCACCTCTCCACCCCCTGCTCCACCTCCATGACCCTATAAAGATAAATGGGTTTATACACTGGAAAGATAAATATGAAGTGATCACCTTATACATGCTTAGGTTTATTCTGGTTATTAACTTATTCTAACACAGAAACCTGTTTGCTGTTAAACATTAAGTGTGACAAAAAGTAGAAGAAATAGTTGAGGTGGTAAATACTTTTTTTTTTTAACAGCTCTATAATTTCAGATTTCTTCTACTTGAGACTTAAAGAAAATCCAACTAAGCAAAACCGAGTGTCAAAAGCACACGACCCCACAGCTTAAAGTATTTAGCTTTTACGACTTGTGCAGCAGTAACTATAACTAGAGGTAAAATATTGATCCATCCTGCACATCAGCTTGGAGGAACTTTAGCCTCTGAGCAGCTTCAGGTCTGGGATGTGAAACTGTTCACTTCTGATCATTACAAACACCAAATCCTCAGCTCAGAGACAGGACTTTTATTTGATCTTTTACAAAAATGAGCCGAATATAAAATAAATCCGTGTTTTGTCACGACAGTTTGAGTCTCAGTTGTGTCGATAGAACTGAAGCATAGCGTGGCCTTATTCACTGTATGCTTGTCTTTTCTACATCTAAGTGTCAAAAACAAGAAAATAAGCTACTATATATAATGTTAACATTTAGGGAATATTTAACCCCTTCAGTTCCTCTGAGTGTCTCTGTCACTGCAGTGGACCACAACTTTTTTTTTTTTTTTTTTTGGCAGACTGTGAAATCAGTTTAGCATTCAGGACTTTTTATGTTGATGTTGAAACTTTGACTTTCAGCTTAGTGGCTCCATGAGTCCTGTTGGGCTAGAGCCAAAACCTTTGGCCATACCGCCTGTATCTTCTCTTGATTAGTGAGATGTCTGCAGTTTGTAGATGATGATAAACTAAATCAATTTCTCTAGCTTGCAGGTGTCATAAACTATATCAATGTTTGCAGTCAGCAGTCACCAACAAACACTTTCAGAGCACAGCTACCTGCTGCAGCCATGGGAACAGAAAGCACACCCCCTGTTGTGCTTTTCTACTTGTGATCAAGTGTTTAGCAGAATCTGAAATTACTGCAATCCCTTCTTGTTCGTAAGCTAATCAACAACTCAAAGCCTTCATCTGGATGTGGCGAAGTTCCAACAAAATAAGGAGGAAAGAAGATCTAGGTGGCTTTAAATGTGACAGTGTTGTTGGTGTCACACAGGCCGAATTAATTAATTCAACAAATTAAGATTAGTTGCACCAGTATCTTCTGTGGATTACTCACAGCTGCACCAAAATATTTAAGAATAAAACTCATAATATAACACATCGTAAAATCATACCCCAGTAGGTTTAAAACTAAAAAAATATTATGTTTTTTTTAAGTATTTGTTTTACATCTGAGAGGAGAGTGTTGTGTGGGAGATGGAAATTGCAATTTCTGTCTGTCTGTCTGTCTGTCTGTACGTCTGTAAGTCTGTCTGTATGTCTGAACGTCTGTCTGTCTGTACATCTGTCTGAACGTCTGTACGTCTGTCTGTACGTCTGTCTGTACGTCTGTCTGTACGTCTGTCTGAACGTCTGTCTGTACGTCTGAACGTCTGTCTGTAGGTCTGAACGTCTGTCTGTAGGTCTGAACGTCTGTCTGTACGTCTGTAAGTCTGTCTGTCCGTCTGTCCGTCTGAATGTCTGGCTGTACGTCTGTCTGTCTGAATGTCTGTCTGTACATCTGTCTCTACATACGTACATTGTTTTGGAAATAACACTAAATTAGCTCTAAGCTAACTATTAGGATTAAATAACAACAATTGGTATGTGTTCAAACAACCAGTTCACAATGCTAAGCAGAAGTGAAGATAATCTATTATTTGTAAATAAGATTTTATTAAATGATTTTCTGAATTAGAAATCAATAACCTTTTGGTCAGTTTGACCAAAACTGGTAGCGTTGGTCAGGAAAACCACAGACTCTGGACCTCCTCTGCTAGCAGCTGGAGGAGCATTGACACGGTAGCTCCTACTGACGTTCCTCCTCTCAGCTCCAGGGATGGAGTAAAGACACGGCTGCAGACTTGTTTTATTGGCCAGAACACAAACACTGGATACACAAACAGTAATCTGATGATACTTAGGATCCTGGGTTACTTGGAACAATCTTTGTCTACACCCTGCTAGAGTTAAATACTCCGTATGACATCACAGAGTTTCCTTTCCTGAAGCTCTTCCTCTTCCTGCCCCTGGATCTAAAAGTGGGCTAATACAGTTCATTCTCGGATTAACAGGTTTTAAACCAGATCTTTGTTCCCTGTAGTTCAGGCCTTCATGACTGGAGGCATGAAGGCCTCCAACATCAACTGCTTAGTTGATGTTGGAGGTCAGAGTGGAATGAACAGACTACTTTTAAATGAAAGAAAGACATCAGTTGCTCAAATTACCAGTCGCTATAACCGAGATTAGCTGAGAATATAACCTGAACCCACAGCACGTCACACCTTGAAGCAGATAGGCTGTGGTAGGAGAAAACCACACAGAGTAGTGCTGTTGTTGGGTGAGAACTGGAAACTGAGGCTACTTTTCACATAGGCTCACTGACAAATTGACTCTTGCACGAGTTGCTCAACAGGTTGTTGCTAGGTAGCCAAAGAGTGAGTGAGTTAGTTGATGCCACCCGCCCTAGCTAGCTGTGAGTGGCTGAGCGGCTAATGCCTTTCCTCTGCATACATCCCCCAGAATGCTTTGCAATTCTGGATCGGAGTTCAGTAAAATTATTGAATACGCTATTGGACGTATGTTGGTTATGTGTTTACTACATATTTTATTGATTTATCGTCTAGCCCTACTTCCACCTGAACACAGCTGCTTTTTATTTTTTAATTTCAGTTTGAAATCAATTCAGCCTTAAATATGTTTTCCCTCTGCGGCCCTTTAGTTCACTGTCAAACCTTGTTGTCAAGCTCATGGACTTTGTTCCCTTTTCGTCACATTCTCCTTTAAAGGTCTTAATGTAGAGCTGGACTCGACAGTCTGCCAGCATCACAGTCCAAAGATGACCCAACACGCGTGTGCTGATGCAATTGTGCTGATTTAGCAATAAGCGTTTTCGTCATCGACTATTGTGGATTCCAGATGTGGAAAACCTCACAATAAACCAAGTTCGTTCTGGTCAGAGAGGCACATGGAGTCCTTCAGAGGCAAATAAACCAGAGGTTGTGATGTCTTGTTGTAAAAATAGACTAGCCAGTACCGTCCTGCTGTACCTACTGAATAAGGCAAAGTGACATAAGATCAAATATTAACTATAAGCTTTTGGAAAAACCTACTAATGGATGAATTTTGAGGATGAAGCGTCATGTAAAGACATCAACAGAATTAGAGAGTGATGCCTTAAAAAAAAACTGACTGTACACATAATTTATGGGTAACTTCATCATCTATAATTATCCTGTGCAAGGATTTTGGATGACTGGATGACTTTAAATGGGCAACATTTTTTTCTGCTTGAATGAGCTGCCCTACATTCAACCCTGAAGAAATGTGTGCATGCATAAAAACTGAGCAGAGTAATCATAAATTCTACATGTGTGACAGCAAAGTTGTGTAATATTTTTGGTGCAATGAAGAAAATATTACACAACTTTGTAATAAAGTTGTGTAATATTTTTACACAACTTTAGGGCATAGCTAAAGGGCACAGCTCTCCGATGGCTTATGAAGATAATGAGTCAATGAGTCATGAAAAAAAAAATGTCATCCATTCATCCATTGTTTATATCCAAATGTCTGTGCCGCATCGCGGGGAGGCTGGTCTTTGACGGAGAGGCAGGTCAGCCATGCCCTAGACTTTGATATCCGATAGATGGATGTTTTCTTATGGTGATCATAATGAATGAAGGTTTGAGGAAATCCAGTGATGGGCCGCCTCTCATCTGCCAAGAGAGGAATTGATTGAAAGAGTTTCATAAGACACAAAAAGCTCGGGCCTGAAAAGTATTTTCTCAGTCTTGGTTTGGTTTGTGAAGCAACGGAGAAACGGGTCATCAAAGCTGACCTTGCATTGTGTCCCAAATCCAAACTGCCAAGTAGGATTGAGATTCAGGGGCTGGCTTTACTGCATAACCACGAATCCCCACGATATACCAAGAGGTGGCTTGCAAAAGAGTTTATATACATATGCACATAGATTTTCTGCAAACTGGAAGTACTAAATAACAACTCAGTTTTATTCTTAGTCTATAAAAAAACAAGAATATGCAATCAAATAATTCCCCCATGTGTGCCAATTTACAGAAAAAAAACGTCAAAAAGTCTTTCTGTACATGCTAAAGTTAACAATATGCAACCATTGATGTGACTAAATTAATACTAATAGAGATTTGTAACATAAAATGTCATTCATTGGTACTTCTTTTAACTTACAAAGTACTTCTTACAGTTTTGTTCCAGTTTAGTCTGAGTACTTCGCTGTGGTTGTAATGTTTTGCTTCATTCTGTTATTCTCTATAAGAATAACATAAAGTTTAATTAGTGTTTAAACGGCAGTGTTATGTATCTGCACAATTAAGTAGTTACCTTCAGTTACAAAAATGCTGTATATATATCAAACATAACTTAAAGGAAACTTGACTTCGCAATTTGAGTCCTTGAATTTGGGCCTCTGTCTCTTTAAGAAGCTCTTTCTCTTTCTGACACTCCACCGTCCACGCGTCATCACAACAATGTTTCTCATGATGCTGCTTATAATCATTCTTAGGAGTGGTAGGTCATATGAACTTGGTCATGTGATGAATTCAGCAGGTGTTTGCTATTTACTGCTGCTGCTGCTAGTCTAGTGGAGCTGTTTTTGGCAGAAACAATTTTTGCAGAAACAATTTTCTATGGTTGTTTTTTGTGTTTGGCATCCGTCCACCTATCCAGATCAATCAAGGGCTCCTCCAGCTGCCATTGGCCGAGAGGCGGAGTACGCCCTGTGTGGTTAACATTGATTAATTATTATGCAAAACATGGTTTCTGTTGTTTAATAAGGCTTGTTAAAGATCTCTCAAAGTCCTGGGAGGAGGATTCTGGGAAAGAATATTCAGAGAAATTATCAAAGCAGTCCAAGGTCAACCATGGACTGCTGGTGGTCAGACTACAGTACAGTCAGAAACACAGCTTGTTTCTGTGCATCCTCTGCAGAAACATGTCACTTGGGAAGGAAGACAACTCTTGCTAAGTCATGGATACTCTCAAGAATACAATTACTGTCCAATCTGAAAATCCCAATAGGGATATCTATTTCTTGCTGATAAAGTTTCATGGCAAAATGTGCAGATTTATGAGCTTATGGGTTTTGCAAAGCTTTATGCAGCATTTCATCCATCCTGCCCTTATAAACGACAGTGCTTTTTATTATATTCACATCTTATTTAAGCAGAGGTTTTTCTTCTCTGTCATATAGAAATAAAGTAATCAGGACCAAAGTTTGGGATCATTGTTTTGCTCTCAGGCTTTAAACCACAAACTTTCAAGATATGTTAATTGTTTTTCCAAAATACATCTTCCAAGCTATAGAATATTCTAGAAATATCTTAGCATTGCACAACATCTGGAATTATAATTAGAACAGTGTTAGCACTATCATAATTACGTATTGGTACTTTTTGGATTCATATAACTACTATTGATACACACCATCTACTAACATATTCAATAAATTAGAATCTGCATTGTGATGAGTTAGAAAACAGTAACCTTTTAAGTGGGTATTAAACATGCTTTTCATTAAGTTAGTTTCTGTATTAAATTTTATTTTATTGATCACATATGATATTGTACTCTTAGTGCTTTAGTCTTAAGTGAAAATCATCACAACTAATAGAAATAGAGACTTAAAAGCAGACTGTGTGTAATTAATCTGTATTACGTGTTTCACATAGTGAAATTAATTTCTGAAAATAAAATAACTTTTCAATAATAGTCTTATTTCTTGAAAGGGTTGGTATGTTTTAGAAGTTGATATGCAAAGTTTATGGAAAATGGTGGGAAAGTAGTAATGATGAGAAAAGGCAGGAAAGAGTCAGGAAATGTTTCATTCAGTATTGCATGTGAATATTCTGCAACAGCATTGCAGACAAATGTTTTAGGCACGTTAGTTAGCACCGATGATAAAGATGTAAAAAAAAAAATACAGAAACAAATAAAATCCTAGAAATGTGAGAGTTTTATTATTATTATTATTATTATTATTATTTTTGTTTGTTTGTTTGTTTTATTGTGTTATTGTTTCTCTGTGGGTAAAATTAATGTAACAAGGAGTCCTGGGTCTGTCAGCATCTGTGAAGAATGGGACAGATAAGAACATGGCATTTGAGAAAAGAGGATGTGTGTGGATCTTTCCAAGTCAGAAAATGGCCTCAAGAACAGCTGCTGATTGAAAAACCTGCTCCTATCTATAGTCGGAGCAGTAATCCAATTCTTTAAAGCAAGTGTAATAGTGATAGATGAGGCTGGACAAAGTTTATCCTGCCACCACAGACAGCAAGGAGGAGAGTCAGAGAGAGAGAGAGAAAAATCTCCAGAGTTAACTTTCAGAGAACCGCAGCCAAACGAAGGGTGTTTGAGGTCACAAAGTCTCCATGAACTTAACCACTCTAAATGCTAATAGAGCAACATTTCTGCTGCGTTTTCTGACTTGGCCTGCAGTGCACTAAAGAACAACACAAATTGATGCCTAACCACTTTTACTGATTTGCTTTTTAGATCGTTTGATGTGACATAGTGAAGAAATTCTGTTACAGAGCTAATTCTTTGTTGATTCACATGGGACAAAGTTTAGATCAATCATTACATTGTATTCCTAAAAAATTTTATTTTTTTGGGAAAAACTAAAAAAAAAAAAAAAAAAAAAAACAGAAAGTTAAAATATCATCAGCTCCATGTGCAGAGATCATGCTGCCCATGCAGTCAGTCAACCTCAGAGTATACATAATTAAATATTTGCTCCTGTTGAGACACAGACTCATATAATATGAAGGCTGCTCAGACATTCAGACAGGCGGCGGGGAAAAGTCACTGGCCTTGCTTGCACTGTGACTGTCAGGATTTATACATTAGTAGAAATTCTGCGACTTATGTTTTTAATGCTTTGGATGGAATTTAGAAAATGTGACTGGAGATTTTAAAAACTGAAAAACATTCAATACTCTGCTGATTATTTTGTTTATACATGTATTCTTCGTTCAAAAAAGGGTTTGATTGCTGTTTTTTGTGCACCTTTTTAAAAGCTTTGCTCGATTAAGTTATAAAGGCTTAAAACAAACACAAACGATCAAGAACATAAAAATGTTCAGCTCATCTTGATGAGCTGAGTCTAAAAGTAGCTTTTCTGTGCCATTTTGATTTTTTTCTCTTTTTTTTGTGAGTCACATGTTAAAAACACTTCTGCCTTATATGAGCTGTGACGTGTCACAGGGTGAACGATGTACTTTGCCGGTGCAAGTTGAGTAAATTTGTTGCTATAAAATAATAATTATTAGTGTGATACAAAATGTTATCTGCAAAATCACTTTGAATGCAAACATTGTGTTGCAAAACAAGTAATTCCTGCTGATGTAGAGCTCACATTTTTGAAATATGACGGCTCAACAATCTCATTATGTTGTAAATTGGTGAAGAGTGAAGGAATCTGGGCTGTAAGTGTTTCTTCTGTGTAGCAGCATAATGCTGAGGTAAAATACTACAGCCTTATAATTCCTTTAAAATCAATTTGATCTTTTTTTACATCAAGGATCTATTGTAATTTACATTTAAATTATGTAATATATATTCATGGAATACTTTTGATATTTACACAGAATAAACATCAGCGACCATGTGGTGATAAATATTAAAAGATATATTGTGTACATACTTTTAAAATTTTGCATAATAATCAATATCCGTTTACTTATTTTTCTATTTGCTTCCAGTGAAACAAAGGCCACCATGAATCTGTTCGGCAGAGACGCCATGACCACAAAGAAGGAGAAGGAGAAAGAAATTCAGTATGAGGAGCCTCCAGATGGAGGCTGGGGCTGGATGGTGGTGCTCCATTGTTTCCTGGTATGATGAACTTACCCAGCTTCTTTTTTTTTAATTTTTATTTTTGTTTTACATTTTATGTCACAATTTGTCACTAAAATCCCAGATGCTTCCAAAATGTCTGTAATTACTTTCAGACCTCTAATGTTTCCATCTAAACCAACATAATTGATAAATAGCTCAACATGAATATCTGACCACATTGTATTTGTTTTTTTTTTCACCTCATATCGTCTATTCAGTGTTGTGGTACTCGAAGTTGGTCTTGGTCTTAAGACCGGTCTTAAGACC